GGTGCAATCAGCCAGAAACATAAAGAGACAGACAGACAGAGAAAGTTACACATCCTAGAAATAAATGACAAAAAGTGTGTGTCAGTATACACGTGTGGGAAAAAGGAGAGTGAGAAAGAGAGAGAGAGAGAGGGAGAGAGAGAGAGAGAGAGAGAGAGAGAGAGAGAGAGAGAGAGAGAGAGTTATCACAATAGAAGGAGAGAGAGAGAGAGCTAGGGGGAGAGAGAGAGGGAGGGAGAGACAAACAGACAGACAGACAGACAGACGGACAGACAGACAGACAGACAGACAGACAGACAGACGGACGGACAATAGGTGTGTATGAGCAAAAGAGACTACAACGGGTTAGATAATATGAAATAAATTTTTATGGTCCAGATGCTGGCACATTAGCTTGGTATATCGCAACACACACGCACACACACATACACACACACACACACACACACACACACACACACACACACACACATACACATACACACATACACACACACATACAAACACAAAAACATGTGCTTGCGTATACACATTCTGTTATCAGCCACATATATACTCATCCAAAACATTGGCTAATATTGTATAATGTTATGCTTGTACCCACTAACAGACCCACAGTCACACGCATATGATATACCCGAACAATAATTATTGTTAATATGAAAATGTGTAAGCAATAAACCTAGTCAGTATTTTTATAGTAATCTGTTGTGTTGGATTTCTGATAACGCATGATAAGGATATTGAAATCCTTTTTTTATATGATACATGGAGTTGTTTTAGCATTGCATTTCAGGATAAATAAATTGTTGTATTTCACACGAGCAACGTAAGAAGATATTTCTTGCGTGAAATATCAGCTGCAATCAAAATTGTAAGCAAGACAATATAAACTTGATTTACAATATTCCTAAACCGTGTCATATCATGGCAGCTGCTGTTTACCCTCAAAGAAAAAACACCTCTGCGAAGTGCCCTCTCCATGAGCACCCAAACAAAGTGCCAAAACACCTCCGTCTCTCAGTCTCACTGTGGTCGAGAGCAAGCGCAACCTTTCTACTTGCCCTCAAATTTTTTTATTGAGTCAAATGGTGAGCACCATATAGTGAACGAGAATTTTAAACTTGGCAACCAAAACACACTAATGTATAAAGACTAGAAGACTTGTGCTTTGCAGTATAACGCATCACTACACTCTGAAGTTATTCCCGTTCAAATTAAAGCCAAAGTCTTCACTGTTCTAACGACACCATGGCTTATATATGCAGTTTCTTATTATTTCGCCTTTTGAATCGTACGTTCTCTGCTCGGTACTTTGTCTATGTTTACGTTATCATCTTTTTTGGTTAAGGTTTATTTCATGGAGGGAGACATACCGGTTTTATACTAGGCCTATGTAATGAAAAAGTAAAGTTGTTCCCGCATCCGATCTGTACATTGGGGATTGCCTAGTTACTGACACAAATTCTTGGGCCTTTGGCATATTTTGTGGTAGGGTGGAAATTTCCCTTCCAAGCCACCTTTACTTCTCCAACTCGAAGTCAGGTACCTATAACTACTGGGTGAGTAGGAGGTGGGCGAAAATAATCCAAGGCTCGAACCCGGACTTTCCGCTTCAGAGACAAGCTCGGAACTTCCCCCAATGTGTCCCTTGTGTGACTATGCATATGAGACTGTGGAGCATCACATTGTTCCACAGCACAGCCCTAAATGACATCAGAGCTACCCTTCTCCCTCCGAGACCTAACATAGACAACACACTCTATGGGACATTACAGCAACGGCAGCAAACCTGCACTTATCACTACATGGCATTGGACAGAAGGGCGAGAGCCCAGCTGTTGCTGGATCGATAACAACAACAACAACAACAACAACAACAGAGACAAGCGCACTAACCGCTCCTCAGCCGCACCCTCCGTCTATGTAATTAGTGTGGCTAAAAATAAAAGAAAAAATCCAAATTTTAAAAAAATCGTCACTCTGACTCATATTGACTTCGAAATTTTGTTTTCACATAACACATTTTTTTTCGTCGGTTGATATCAGTATGGTACAGAAATGTTTATTACACTCTTTATGATGGCTGATCATGATTTATCCTTCTTGTGAAATTGCCAGCTGTAAGCAAATCGCTTTGCAATTTCACTCAAGGGATACGGAATGATCTACCATCATAATTCATGTATTAAATTCTTTATAATACACGATGTTCACGATGTTTACTGGATGATAGATGGCGATTAACGTATGATCTGTCAAACTGAGCCAGATTTACTGTGGGGTTTTAAATCGTCATCATATCTTGTGTATTGGGATCAATAAAGATGTTATTGCTGAATGCTATCGCCTGTTTCAAGGCATACAAACTCCATAGAGGTGTTTAGTCGAGGGATGGACATCGGACATGCTAAAAGAAGGCCAACAGTTCGTTTTGTGAGTGTGTCGGTCAGGGCGGTGTACCAATACCCCAATGTACACTGCCACTCCAAATGGGTCCCATTGTCTTGTGTTTTAGTTCAGTTTATCCAATTACAAAATTATGTATCACCACTTCAACTTGGATAACGTCTCAATGCTATCTTTCAAATATCAAGGTACTGAAAACGACAAAAGCAAAGCACGAATCATGCAGCTACTGTTTATTTTCGGATTTTTTGTTAACAAAGTGCAGAAATCAGCCGTGATCTCTGCTGGATACCCCACACGCACATACGATATGAAATACCTCTTAGAGACTTGGGTATGAAAAGGTTTGGCGTTTTGTTTGTTAATTTGTTTAGTTCCTTTTATTTTGTTTTTCTTTTTGTTTTTGTTTCTTGATTAATTTCATCAATGCCGTAAAACCAAATGGACCATTCCTTCATCCATAATGACTTTCTTGTAGAACGGAAAACATCCGCATCATCGAGTAACATAACCTGTTATTGGTCATATGAGCAGGGGCATCGTTAGGAAACGAGCTTCCAGAGACCAGGGTAATGGCTGGGTGTGGGGGAAAAGGGTTGGGAGATATGGAACAATGAAGAAGTAAAGAAAGAAATATCGATATGGATTTTGCAAGCTAGAAAATAAGGCAATGAGGTGGTGAGATAGCTATAATATACAACACTATGGTCTAAAAAAGGACAAGTAAAGTAGAGAGTACTGCTGCTAAGGGAGAGAAAGTGTATTGATTGCCCAGTCCTTGACCATTGCCATTATGGTGTCAGAGAGAAAAAGAGAAAGAGAGATAAAGAGAGAGAGAGAGAGAGAGAGAGAGAGAGAGAGAGAGAGAGAGGGAGGGAGTAAGAGAGAGAGAGAGTGAGTGTGATTGTGTGTGTGTGATTGTGTGTGTGTG